AGTCCCAACTATATGGCAGATTCCAATTAGAAGGTGACTTTTTTTTTTTTTTTTCATGGAGAAAGGCGACTAGCCAGTCACTAACAACTTTAACAAAAGCAGTTTTGATGAGGTGATGCTGATGAAATCCAGGTTGCAGGGAGATCAGGGGGTACATGGAAAAAAAATGACTGGGAGATGAGGAAATTATTCTTTCAAGAAGTTTGGATTGCAAAGGAAGAAGGAAAAAGAGGGTATTGGCTGTGATTTTTCTCGGGAACCTCATCCAGTGAGACCATTGGACAGGGAGTAGAAATAGGCAAGGAAGTAAATGTTTGAGAGAGAGAGAGAGAGAGAGAGAGAGAGCGCTCAATTATATCATCAAAGGAGGAGGCATGATCATTTACTTAAGAGTTGAGGGGATAAGAGATTGAGGTTGGGGGGGCAAGAGAAGAATGGTGAAGATTTCAAATAATTTCTGGAGAGGAGAGGACCATAAATAAAGGTATAGACAAATCGAACTCAAACAGGACTGAGGATCTACATCAGATGGTGCTGCAGCAGAGAGCCATGTGCCTAAAAGCAGGAGGAATTTGACAGAAGGAAAAAACAACAACACTAAGTTTCTGGAGTTGCCTGGGCATCTGGGAGAAAGCCGGTTTGGTACTCTGGGGACCTACAAGTCCCATGATGTGGGCACAGTGAGCGGATTGGGGAGCAAGTCAAAGGTGATACTTTCCAAGAGGGGGCAGCCTCGATGACAGCATGGAGGGTGGACGGGGGTGGAGGAGGGAGCCTTCTGGACCTTTGGGTGGGGACCCGTGGGGTGCAGCAATGACGGGAAGGCTTAGCTCTAACTAAGGCACCCAGCCCTGGCACAGTTGTTTCTGTGGGAACTGGCTGAGGAGGATGAGGGCACCTGGTTTTGTCATCCCAACTGCGGAATGCAGGTTCAGGGTCTGCCTCTGGGCGGGGCTTGCTCGGCCTGGCACGCAGGGCTGTGGGCCCCAGGCTCAGGGCACATGTGCATCCTTTATGTCTTGTTTTCTTTTTTTAAATCCTCACCCGAAGACATTTTTCCATTTTTTGTTCAGATAGAGTGGGAGGGAAAGAGAGAGAGAGAGAGAGACATCGATGTGAAAGGGACACATCGAGTGGTTGCCACCCGCACGACCAACCAGGGCCGGGGACAAACTGTAACCGAGGTACATGCCCTTAGCGGGAACCGAACCCGGGTCTCTCCGGACCACAGGCCGACGCTCTAACCGCTGAGCCAAACTGGCCAGGGCTATGTCTTGTTTTCTAACATGCCAGTGTTTCATACTGGCTCAGCTTCTTTCAGACAGCTCGGGACCTTTTGTCTTCTTTCTAGCTTTATTCCCAGATTACTTCTATTGGTCCGTAAAAGAGTAAATCAACTGACTATTACACTACAGCCCAAAGAGGCAGTTTTTCTATCCTTTGATTTTACTTGGTCGGAAACAAAGCTAGAATTGGACCTTGTATGTATGTTTAGATATTCAAGTGTGGCTGGGGGTGAGTTGTCAGAGAGCAAGCAGAAACCGAAAGGAACATACCAAGTCTAGGGGACAACAAGATAGGGTGGGCTGGACACCGGGCAGTGGCTCCTCCCGAACCAGCAGGTCCCAGTTATAAAGCTGGTGAGGCAGGTGCGCGTCCTCCCAGGGAGCATGTTGGCACCTGAGCCGTGGGCACGGCAGCTTGGGACATCAGCCTCGGGGAGAGCTTGTTTCTGAGACAACTTTTACAAAAATAAAGATGCAGCTTCACTTGGGTTGGTCTGAGACCTCAAGGACATGCGTATGGTGAGTGTGTCCATCAAGAGTGTGACGAGGACAAGGAAAGCGAGATCCTGGCAGGAATCAAGTCGATTAATGTAGCCCATCTCTCATTTCACACGGTCCGTTTGTGACTCTTAGGCATTTCGTGATATTTACGTACATCATTTTTACCTTCCAAGAGGATATTAGGTTCTTTTGGATGGCAAGTCTATCTATGAATAAATCATGTCTGAAGTAAGATGTGAAGCTCTGGATTTCTGAGTAATGCTCACTTTTCCCCACCCTAGGTCTGAGCCCGACTGTGGCCGCGTTAGCTGAAGGCTAAGATGTTTGTCCTCATTAGCTCTGATTTAACTCCTGGCGTGGCGTTTGGTGCCATGATAGGCGGGTGTTCTCCACTCAAGGCAGGCACGCCGACATCTGTATTTTCGTCCTTTTTGGTTTCTAGAATCATCTGGACAAAAGTCCTCGTTTCCAACAAAATAAGGCTTTCTCTATCCATTCAATGGATGACTGTTTCCGACCCTGGCAGGCGTTTCAAAACGTATTCTCTCCCCTGTGCTTTACGACTTCTGTCTCTGTTCCTGTGGCGTGTAGGCGTTGGAGCGACCAAATGCAGTGTGCCACCAGTGTGCCATGCCCGCTGTCGTCTGGAAGGATCATTTATGGCTGGGGAGAGGGCTGGGCAAGGGGAAGGGGGAGATGAGCAGAACCAGCTAATGAGGTTGGTGGTGGAGGCGGAGGAGGCCACTTGGAGGGTGCTCAAGGGAAGCGAGTGGAACCACTGGGTTGAGGGAGGACAGACAGACGGCAGCCAAGACTGGTAAATGGCAGATGGAGAAGCCAGAAACACACATATAGCCTGAGTAATCCGTGCCAGGGACAGGCGGATTGGGGAAAGTGAGGGAGGGGGGAAGAGAGGGAGAACTGTCAAGCTACCAACTCCTGATTTTAATGGGGACACTGGAAGGGAAGGAGGGAAGGGTGCAACTTGTCTCCCATGGTACCCGGCGCCGCACAGAGGCGAAGGCTCTGGTTCTCCTGCCTCCTTCCTTTCTCCTTTCCTCTTCTGTTCTCTCCTCTCTTTCTTTTCTCTCTTCTCCCATCTGCCCCCTCTCCGTTCCTTACTTCTGGCCTATTGAAACATCTCCATGTCGAAGAATTATTTGATGTCATCGCAGTTCCAAACCATCCATTTGTCAGTACAGGAAATTGTAATTATTTTTAATAAAGGAGAAAGGGAAAGAGGATGTGACTAATGTTCGGGGAAAACCAGGCGACAGGCCAAAACACACTGTGTCTCCAGGACGGCGGCAGAAGGAATAGCCCTCTGATCGCATCTGACGTCACCTCGTGGGATTGGCTGATTTCTTGGGGCTGAGACCATTTTTCCAAGATAGTATAATGCCGTAAGAAAGAGGGTTTTCCAAACCCCTTTTCTCCCAAGCGTCTCTGGTTCTAAAGAAAAATACATTTGGTTTCTATACATTTATTTCTCTTTTTGGTTTTGTTTCAAAGAGTACAAAAGCAATCTTTGGGTCCTGGCTGGTTAGCTCAGTTGGTTAGAGCATCGTCCCAATATGCCAAGGGTACAGGTTTGATCACTGGTCAGGACACATACAGGAATCAACCAGTGGATACATAAATCTCTCTCTCTCTCTCTCAAATCAATCAGTCAATAAAAATTAAAAAAAAAAAAAAGAAATAAAATATCTTATACTATGGTCAATGGGTCCTAGCTCTACACATCTATACCCCCCTTCCTTAAAAAAAAAAACAAAAAACAACAACCCACAATCTTTGGGATCTGTATTTCTTGGGTACTCCTTGCCAGTATGTCCTACATGATGATTAAGTAGATGGCATTATTACTGTGGTTGGGAGACAGAGCAAGCAAGAGAGGAAGAGTCATCCTGTCCTAACACAAGCTTCTCCGTTGGGGGGGTTCCATTGCCTGCAGCTCATCTGCTAGAATAAGAACAGGGAGGCACCACCCACCTTAGGTTTCAGGAGACTGCTCGGTTGAAGCTGCGAAGGGAGCAGCCCCCTGTGGAGTGGCAGACCGTGGCCAGCCACCGTGGGAAGCACCAGCGAGTCCTTCCTGGGACGGCTCTTCAGCGAGAACGCCAGGCTCTGTGGCTCCTGGTAACGTATTAGGTTTCACGGATGCCAGGAAGATAAAGGTCTTTGACTACATAGGAGCCTGTAAAGAGATCAAATGCTTGTCTCTGTTTTCTTTTTTAACGGGCCATGGGGCATGTGTTTTTAATAGATTGTTGATTCTGTGTGTAAGTGTGAACATAATATTGCCTAGTGCTTTGAAGACCACCAATCAAGATACTTGGTATCATAAGGTAGTTGTAGTAGGGGTGGAGTTTCTATGGATTAAGGGACTAGAAAGAGAGAGAAAAAATATATAATAAATATTATTTTATTTATAAATAGCTTTATGACATCCTCTCCTACCTGTCATTCCTATCTTTCTTTCCCTCTTTTATTTTCTTCACTAGCCACTATTTCCCCCTTTAAAAAATAATGTCTGAAAACAGCATATACTGAAATAAAGATTCAGTTGGTCTTCTTTTTCTTTTTTAAATATTTTTTTAATGATATTTTTAGAGAGGGAGGAAGTGAGAGGGAGAGAGAAACATCGATGAGAGGGAACATCGATTGGCTGCCTCCTGCATGTCCCCCATGGGGATCGGGTCCACAACCTGGGCATGTGTCCTGAGCAGGAATCAAATCGGTGACCTCTTGGTGCATGGATTGATGTTCAACCACTGAGCCACACCAGCCGGACTCAGTTGGTCTTCTTATCGTAATGGTCACAGAGTGTGATGGAGAGAACCAGGGACTGAGCATTTGAAAGTGCCCTACACCATGGCCTGGGGATGATTCTCAGGGCAAAGAATGAGAATGCCCCTTGGATTTGTCTTGATGAAATCATCCGGTGTAGAGTGGGGACTTGAATATGATGTCAGATACTGAATATTCATGTGACTATTAGTGCTAACAAGGTAGGATATTATTGATCGGAGAATAAGTACCCCAAATGTGTAGCAGTGCCCTTTCTTCGTGGTCTTCATGAGAACCTCATCTCTACCTCTCTGCCCCCCTAAAAGGCAACACTGGCTGGGAGTGTCAGAATCTGGGTAGGTGTGGCTGTGCGCTTCTCGGCACGCTGACCCCTGTGTGGTGCTGTCCCCGTGTCCTCTGCAGGGCGTACATGAGTGTGAAGGAGCTGAAGGAGGCACTGCAGCTCAACAGCACGCACTTCCTCAACGTCTACTTCGCCAGCTCGGTGAGGGAAGACATCGCGGGCACTGCCACCTGGCCCTGGGAAAAGGAAGCCGTCAGTCACCTGGGTAAGTGAGGCGGAGAGCAAATACAGTGGACAAAAGGAGGCGGACCAAGGAAAGTTGGTGGAAGTGAGTTTGGGGGAAAAAAGGAAGAGAATGGCTTTTGGGAGAATCTGTCAAAATGTATCAATGCAAACAAGTAAGAGGTATTAGAGCAAAAGGTGGGAAATGGTCAGGATGTTCTAGACCACGCCCCTAATCTAAAAGCGATAAGGTGGTGACGTGGAATGAGATCCACTTTGCGTCTTGGAGGCATAACAATTAAACTGGAAGAGTGAGGACCGCAGAGAGTAATACAAATAAGGGCAAAAAGGAAATAAAATAGAAGGTAAACAATAATTAGAAAACAATGAACAGAGCCAAAAGATTTTGGGGGAAGGAGGGACACAGAATTGGTTAACCCCTAGGAAGACTGATCAAGAAACAAAATAGGAGAGAAGGATTATATTTCCACCATGAGGAACAGAGGAGGCGATAGTCCTACATATGCTGCAGACATTAATAGATAGTCCGTACTTTACACAAATGGTGTTGAAGCAGTTAGACAGCCACAGGCAAAAGGCAATTAATCTTAATGTGAATCTCACACCTGGTACAAAAATTAACTCAAAATAGATCACATATTTAAACATAAAAACATTAAGGTATAGAACTTTAAGAAGAAACAGGGCAGGCTACACGAAGGGTGAACACCAAAAGCATAGCCCATATGCATAGTAACTGATAAATTATACTTCATCCAAATTTAAAACCGTTTCTCCGAGAAAGATGGTCGAACAGAGAAACATCAGACCTGGAAGAAAAGGTTTGCACACTGCACATCTCGCAGAGGACTTGTGTCTAGAATGTGTGAAGAAGTTTCCAGACTCGGTGGTGGAGCAGACACTCCGGTCAGAAAGCGGACAAGGATGCGGGCAAACGTTCCACGGGGAGGAAATTCAGATGGGCAATACGCACACGAACAGATGTGCAGCAACCTTAGCCATCAGGGAAGCTCAAATCGAAACCACATGAGATATAACTACATACTTATTAGAATAGCTAAAATAAAAAATTTAAAAAAATGCACAGGGATATAGGGTACAGCCCAGGGAATCTAGTCAATGATATTATTGTGAATTTGTTTGCTGACAGACAGCTACTAGAGACTGATCACAGTGATCACATGGTAAGGTATGTACATGTCCAATTACTGTACTGGATACCCGAAACTAATAGAATACTGTACGCCAGCTACACTTCCGTAATATCTTTTAATAATGACAATAGTGGGCGCTGGTGAGCACACAGAGCAGCCGGGCTCTCACCGTTGCTGGGGAAGGTGGTGTGGTGGTCACTCTGCAGGGTGCTGGGCAGTCTCTGATCAAACAAAACCTGCGCCCGTCCGGGGACCCAGCCAGTGGGCTCTCGGACACTGATCTCAGAGAAACAAAAGCATACCCTTCAGAACCTTCTTCACAAGATTTTGAAACCTTTTACATCGGTCTCCGTTGCAGCTCTGTTTGGAAACCACACAAGTGGCTTCAGTGCTGACTGCCTCAGCCAATGTTCACATCTGTAGTGCGACGGGACACCGCTCAGCAACAAGGGAGCAAAGCATCCACGTGCAGAGTGACTCAGATGTTGCTCAAGGGTCTTATGCTGAGTGAGGAAAAAAATCTCCAAAGTACGATTCCATGTCCGTCGTTCTTTCAAAGTGACAGAACGCTAGAGACAGAGAACAAGTTGGTGCTCGCCTGGTGTTAGGAATGGGCTAGAGGTGGGGGAGGGGTGTGAGGGTAGGTGTGACAAAAAAGGAGAACAGGTGGGACATCCTCATGGTGAAGGAACAGTTCAGTATCTTGATTGTGGTGGTGGTTGCACAAAGATATCCCTGTGATAACATCGGGTAGAGCGACACACACGCATACATGCACACCCACACGCACACTCACAAGTGCATGTAAGAGCTTGTGAAATTGAATGAGGTCTGTGACCTGTGTGCAGAAACGGGGCGCTGGGCATAGCAGGTGCTCTGTGAATGCTCACTGAATGGAGAAGCACATACATAGCATGGAGGTATTACATTGAAATGGTTTCTGGAATTAGCTCATGAATTATTGACTCACCATGAATTGCGAAAGATGCTAGTAACACTTCTATTTAACTCTTAAACTTTTCAGGATTAGCTGTGTTCCCCTGAAACATGATATGTAATGTGATCTTCAGAAGTAGACTGAGCAGCGGAGACATCCCACTCGAAATGAAAAGGCTCGTGTTGGTATTTACTTCTTGTTCGATCATCACAGTGATTGAACAAAGGAACTGTATTGACCTAAACCAGCTGTCGTCATACCGACAGCTGCCATAACATGAGAGGGGAAGTCATTTAGGATTTTCTTGATAGAATCTTTTCGAGACTTGAATTATCTATTTGTGTTAACATGTAAGGCTCCTGCATTTTGAGAGTCGGCTGAGTGACCTAGCAGATAAGGACACTAGCCTGAAAGTTTGAAGACTGAGTCCTATTTCTGACGACCAGGGTCTTCAGTGACTATCTGAAAAGACCAAGGTGATTTGTGGTTCTGCTTTGCCATTAATGCCATTTCTGACTTTTAGCATAACGTTGTACTTTCAACGCCGTGGTGATGCAGGGCAGAATTTCTAATAAATAAATGAATGTATGAGCTCCCCTTAACCTCTGATGTTCAGTGGTTTGAGTGTCTTTAGCCTTAGCTAAATTGAAAATGTATCTTCAAAGGCAGAAGACTAAGTTAAGTGGTAAACCAGCCCTTCTATAAACTGGTAATCCCAGACTCATGCTGGACCGGTCCATTCGTTCATTCATTCTTCATTCGTTCATTCTGTTTCATGGCAGTACCGGAGCTAGCAGGAGAAAGGAATTCACCCTAGAGGTGTGCACAGCATAACCGGGAGACAGACATGTGAATGCACATGTAGGGCACAATGAGCTGATACCACACCTGAGGCCAGGCAGGAACGCGCGAGAGAGGAGCACAGTGCTGAGAGCCTCCGGGAAGGGTTCCCAGAGGGGCTGAGGTTCAAGGGGAGAGTTGAAAGACCTTGCTTGGCAGACAGGGAGAGGGCATTCGAGACCGAAAAAGCTGACCGACGCCAAGGTTCGGGCTGTTAAAAACCGGGACATACTTAGAGTACTTGGCTCGAGAGTGCTCTCCAAATGTATTTTTGCTCTCTTGTACCCCCTAAAAGACTTTGGAAAAATCTCTGTACCCCTCATGCTGTCTAAGAGTGACATCTAAACACTCAGTCACAAGTTTAAATAGTAGCAAATAATATAATTTCTGGTATACTATTTCAAATTATTGACATTTTAAAATAAAATGTAAATTTACTCTTCTAAATGTCGCCTCAGCCACCTAACAATTTGATAATCACTATCATTCATTTTTTTTTTTTTTTTATCCTCACCCGAGGACATTTTTCCATTTTTTGTACAGATAGAGTGGGAGGGAGAGAGAGGAAGAGAGAGAGAAACATCGACGTGAAGGGACACATCGAGTGGCTGCCACCCGCACGACCAACCAGGGCCGGGGACAAACTGCAACCGAGGTACGTGACCTTAGCGGGAACCGAACCCAGGTCTCTCCGGACCGCAGGCCGACGCTCTAACCGCTGAGCCAAACCGGCCAGGGCACTATCATTCATTTTTAAAAAGTTGGTGGCTGTGAATTTTTTTAACATTGGGAAATTATTCACTGATTGTTTGTCTCTTTGAATTTGCGTTTCCATTTCATTTCTCCTAGAGAACTTTACACTAATATGACATATACATGCTTATTTTTTTCAGTCTTTAGTTGATCACCCGTTTCTCTGCTAAAAACTTATTTTGAATTAAACAAATCTCTTGTAATAAGTTTTTTTAACTAACTTTCAATTTTGCTACAATTGTATATTTACATGTGATTGCAGAAATTCCACGTACCCTTGACCCTTTTCCTCCAAAGGTAACATCTAACAAAACTGTGGCACAACCACACAAACTGGCCATTCACATCGATACTGATCATACGTTTTGAATCGATGAAAATTTCTTCTCAGTTGAGTTACCTTTTGAACTGATTACTTGCCCAAAGTTGGTGAAAATCGACATTTTACAATGTTGATTGATGACTAGTGAACAAGATGGGAAATGCGTATATGGATGGAGAGTAACTTCCCTTTCCCGAATTAGTTCACGTGTCCGTGGATGAATAGTAAATACTGCCGTAACAAGACAGGATTTAGCATTAGTTATACTACTTTAGAAAGATTTCATAGGCTCTCAGTACTGAGAAACTGTTCACATAACTATGTAAATGGGGAAGAGTTCTCTCTGACTGAGTGGAGGGTGGGTTCAGGGTGGAAACAGAGACCAAGGAGTGGGCTGGGGAGCTGGCTTGCTCCTGGCTGTTGAGTTTGGGGTCTCTACAAACCCAGCTCCGAAGGGACTTGAACGGAGAAGGGGGAGGAGCAGGACCTACGGGTGTACCAGCCGCCAGGGGAGAGAGGCTGAGCACGCCCCCAGCCCACAAGCACAGCGCTGCAGGGATGAGGTCAGGACGAGGGCATTTTGGCCAGGTTAGACAGGAGACCGTCACTCTCTGGCACCGGACCTAGATACCTCAGGGTGTCCTGGGCCAACCAGCTTCCTTCATTGTTCTAGGAAAGGTCTTCCTGCCAAAGAACACTCAGCCTCCCTATCAGACCTCAGGCAACGTGGCCAGGGAGCGAGGAACCCAAGACCCACGTGGGAGGGAACTTGAACCTGGCTCATAATGAGGGTTTAAACATCTAGCGAGGGTCTTCAAATGAGTTCCCATAACGTGACCCTTGTGAAAACAAGGTCTTTGAGTGGGAGAGTGGACTGTGGCTGCCCGCCGATGGCACCTGATGGGCCCCTGAGCAAGTCACCTGTCTGGGTCCTAGTTTCCTTATATAACATGGGTACTAAGCATGAGGAACAGTACCGGGCACATTGCACGGCCTCAAACATGTTAGCGTATTGG